AAGGATCTCCAACGATACCGCCATAGGCAGCACCGAGAGAAGACAGTCACATAATTCTATTTATTCAAATTAACTATATACTTATTTAAAAGAATTCTAAATAAAACTAGATCAAAATTAACTATTCTAATCACCATGCATTTTCCAATGGGCTGTTTAAACTCTTCGAATGTCATAATGATTGTTGTTCTTCCTAATTTTTATAGAAAAGGAGTACTTCGCACGTAAAGTTAAAGTTAAGAAACTTTAAAAAACCTCTGCAATCTTAACATTTAGTCCAAAATCGTCTACCACTTCAAGTTCTTTTCTATAGAAAGGTGATCTAGATCCCATTACACTCGCATGTACCGATCTTAGAATTTCGAAAGAGATTCTGGTTCTCAACCAAGCTATGAAAACTGCATAACGTTCATGGTCTCTTGCTGCTAATTTCTGCGCCAGCTGAGTAAGAAACTTGTGGCATTCAGACCCCATTCCACCATTGGTTCCAAGAACAAGTGGGGTAAAGGAGCCCATTTCAACATCTAAAACTCTCTGTTGGTATTTTCTCTTCTTTTCGTTCTCGTGTTCCTTAAAAGTGTTCTCGGTTGGCCGGCCTTGGTTACATCGGGAGTTTACATGCGTTACTCTTACGTCAAAAAATGCAGTAGCTCCACGTAGCCAGAAACCGTCCGCCTTGATGTCCAATCTCGCTTCGGGACTTATATTGGCCGATCTCAAGTCAAATCTCTCATTATCAAGGGGTTGAAGATGAGGGGTTACATATCCAGTTGCGCTGTTAGCAAATTACGGATTCCATCGTGCCTTTGTGCCACGAACCCACCTTTTTTACAAGAGAGGGCATGATTGATGTTAAAGCGATCTCCACACGCACAATGACTTGGTAAATCATTCAAAGTTAAATTGTATCTCATTTGTAACGAGTCTCTGAATTCTTGCTGATTGAGGGCTAGACCTTGATCTTTGAGTGGAATCGCATTTAGCCAGGAACTCGCTCCTTTGTCTTGGGATTGCTTTACCAAGAACAGTAGGTCTGGAGAAAGTGTTGCATCAATGTTATCCATTCTAGACTGAATAGTTTCCGCTTTGTTTGCTTGCTGCATTCGCTTCAGATCATCTATAGACTGCTCTATCGGTTCCAGAGCCTCACTCTGCCGTTTAATTGAATTTACATGTTGATTAGTAAATAATTTTGAGGCTGCATATTGCAAAGGAGCTTCTATTCTCAAATTCGGTACGCCTAATCCCCCTTGAGCTAACGTTAGGGTCACAAGTTCACGAAGTTCACTCGCAAGGGGTTCTTCTTGACCAAAAAATTGTGGTAAGAGAATGTCATTCAATGTTTCATGTATCGATTCTACGTACTCTTCGAAGGCCTCAATTGTTCGCATGAAGTAGGTAAATTTTGATTTGTATGCTTTCGTAAGGGCAATGTAGGCTGCATGAGGCTGGCTTTTCGCGATTTCCGTGAGTGATGAGATATCTTGTACCCATCCTTGAATTTTTTCTTTACAATACTCATCTTTATATTCTTTTGATCCTATAACAGCACCCAAATAGCGTTTTCCTTCTGTTGTAATTTTAACTTCTTCTCCAGAGATCTGCTCTGCTTCTTTGGCCAGTTCTTGCGTCTTCACTATCAGCCAACACTTTGGACCATTTACTAGATAGCCGTATTTCTTTCCTTGCTCTTCCAAATGCTTATACCAATTATATAAATGTGTCAATCTTCCTCCTCCCACTGAGTCATCAACCAGCCATACTTGTTTGATTTCTGGTATGTTCAATTTCAAACTTTGAATCATTATAGCTGTGTTAATTGAGTACCAGGACATAGCTAGAGGATCCCCTTGAGTGGTACCTTCTTGCGACAAAATCTCACCTCCCCCACATATGAATAGCCTGGAGGGGCATCTGTAGGTGTTAATGATGTATATGGACATTCTGTTGCAGGTTATTCAAAGATTGTGCAATGTTACCGCTGTATTCATTTGGTTAAAAAAAAGCATTGGTCGCAATCAATTAATAGGATTCCATCAGTCCCTTTCTCCAAAAACATGGTTCATGGCATGTATTGCTGCCTCGGCCCCAGCACTGTATCCTGCACAAACTTGCAATGGCCCCGCTGCTTCCCTTATCTATGCTCTCAAGAATAAAGTTACTGTCTTACCGATTATTCTTCGCAGCACTTCCCCACTCCAATTGGTCGAATTCCAGGATGTTTATCTAGTGGAATTAGCCTACAGGATGTGTAGCTTTTTAACAGGGATGGATGGTAGCATAATTTCAACAGATTTTTGGTCATCGTTGATATTTCTTCTCTTAAGATCTTACCTTCGTTACTGAAATTCTTTGAGCATAAAATTCGTCGGTATATGTCTGCGTCCATACCAGACGGTCCAGCTGAGCCCTTAGTTTTAAAAGCTGCGTCATAAATCATCTGCTCATTGATGAGGTCGAAAATATTGGACGCGATTCGATCTACGGGACCATTTAGGAGGCATTCGTCCTCTACATCACTGGCTGCCGGGTGTTTCTCTTTCAAAGCTTCCAAAGTTTCCGGCGAAAGATCTAGTAAACCCGGGGAGCTTTCTTTATCCAGAAATTTAATCGCCGCGGATAGTTTTCCTTGCATTACCAATCTGGCGGAAACTCTGGAGATATCATTTACTGTGCGGGGTTTTCTTGATGATAAGAATCGATCTTGTATAAATCTCACTTTTTCATTAGTAGATTCAAGTCCCCTTGCTTCCATAGGGTTAATCTTCGTTTTATCGCTGTGCTGTGTTCTTTGCTCTTTGATGTTCCGAGGGCTTTTGGAGAATCAAAGATGGAAGCACCATAAAGGCTTTCAATGCAATCGAATTGAGATCAGAATTGGAATTGAATTGCTTTAGCCAATAAGTAAAGTCTGCAATGAAATCTTTTCCCGCTCTGCCGGAGGGTATATTAAAAATGTTCCTTCTAAAATGGACGATTTCGTCATAGATTTTACAAATCTGATCGCATAAACTTTGTTGACTAATAGAACCCACATTTTTTCTTTGATTTCAGACACCATAACATCCAATTCAGGTAGATTTGGCTTATTATTTGCATTTCCTGTGTCATTATATTTTGGTTCCAGTGGTGTCACAGGGGAACGATTTGGAATGCGAACATTATTGTGCTCTGTGCTAATTTCCGTTGTATGGCTTTGTTCCGATTCCATCAGTCCCAGAGGGGATTTGTAAAGCGCATTCTCCGTGTCCATGCAAATTTGCAGCTTTACCGTTGCAGAGGCGTTACTGCAGTTTCCCCTTTGCTTTCTCAGGATTTATTTTCGCATGTCCTAATTTCTCGATATTTGAACTATCTATTAGAATTGCTTGCTGTGCGGGGTGTTGAAAGGCGACGGTACCCGACTCGTTCTCCATACAGCTTGATTTCATTTTGAGCTTAGAGCATTTTCGAAGCTTACATATCTGATGACTTGTCTTTCTATTCAAACAACAATTACACTCGCCACAATTTATTTTCCTCAGGCACGAATCGCAGCTACCACATTTTCTCCTTCTTTTCTTAACAACACCTTGCTCTAAATCGACTATATTCGGATCAAGGTTCACACTCCTTTTGCCTCGCTGTCGCATCTTGACCGCCAAAGTTTGTTCATGACTCTCAAAGTTCATTTGATCAAGACCTTCTACATTCGTCGTAACTGGATCGTAATTTTCGATTGTAGAAACATCGGTAATATTTTCTACATCATTTTCTACTAGTTGTATTAAATGTTCAGCCAAATCACATGAATTTTGGCTGATATTTTTTGAAATCGCAGAGCCCAAAATTTCATGACCGTCTGCCAGAAGTGACCACAAAAAAGAAGGGTCAAGAAAGGAAAGATGACAACCGAAAATCAGAAGAGAAGACCACACAACGCCACAACATCTCATTAAAAATGTCTAGTATATATGTGACATAGCTCAGTGTGTTGATTGTGGGAGTGTTCCACATGGGCACTGAAATCTTAACCATGACCATATTAGTTCACTGGGACTGCGTGGCGTTTTTTGCTATTCTATTTGCGTTTGATCATTTGGCATTTGCAATAGCATTTAGATTTGTTCTAAAAAAAGCAAAGTGAAAAATGGAAAATTTCGTTTTGGCGGATAGTGTATATATAGCGAACGTACCCAAACGTCCATAACGAGTACGTACAAGTCGCAGATGTAGTAAATTACGCGGACCTACAAAACATCCAGGTGCTTACATCGTATGTATACTTGTGAACTTTGAATTAATTTTTCATCAAGCCTTGGACATAATTAAGCCCTTTTTTTCAAGCAGCTAATTACCGAAACTTTCCAACAGTAACACGAAATTCTCCCTCGAAACCCAATAAAAAATAATCTTTTCTTTCAGGTCTTGACGAAAACATTTTTTTCCCGATGCAAAATTCGAACCACCACCAACTTACAAGTTGATACACCATTGTCGTTACCCTGCGACTATTTGCCTCTTTCGATACTAAGTGGTGTTTTTTATCTTACTTAAATCTTTTTTTTCAAGAGGCTTTTGAAAAAAATTTGTCCAGCATTCGAACCATTACCAAAATAAACACGAGAACACCAAATTCTCGTTGAAACCCAACAAAAAAGGAGTAAGTCTATTTTGACGAATTTTTCAACTGTTCAAAAAATGTCTTAAACTGCTAAAAAAAAACGGCTTCGTAAGACTAATAGCTTTCATTTTAGAGCATATTTGGTTGCTTTTTGGAACATTGAAAAGGTCGTCGTCAATTTTGACTAAAATGGTAAGGCTTACCCCTTACAATTGTGGTCAATTTTGACAAGTTTTTGAGTTTGAGATGGGTGACCACGCTTTTTATGATGTCAATTATTTATATAACAAAACCATGTTTTGGTTATGTTGGGAAAATGTGGGAAATGTTGGGAAAATGTTGGGAAAATGTTGGGAAAATGTTGGGAAATGTTGGGAATGTTGGGAGAAATGTGGAAATGTTGGGAAATGTTGGGAAAATGTTGGAAAAGTTGGAAAAAGTTGGGGAGAAGTTGGGGAAATAGTGGGAAAATAGTGGTGTAAAGGTTGGGAAGATATTGGAAGAAGTGTGAAAAGTTTTGGAAAAAGTGGGGAAAAATATGGAAAAATTGAGGGGAAAGGTTGGGGAAATGTTGGAGGGAAATTGAGAAAGGAAGGAAAGGGGAGAGGAAGGAAGAAGGACAGAGAAGGAAGAAAAGGGAGGGGAAGGAGGGAAGAGGGAGGGAAGGAGGAGAAGGAGAGGAGGAGAAAGAGGGGAAGAAGAGGAGAGGAGAGGAGAGGAGAGGGAAGAAGGGGAAGGAAGGGAAGGGAGGGAGAGGGGAAGAGAGAAGGGAGAGAGAAAGGGGGAGGGGAGAGAGGAAAAAGGGGAGGAGGGAGGAGAAAGAAAGGGAAGGGAGAAGAGAGAGAAGGAGAAGAAAAGGGGGGGGAAGGAAGGGAAGAAAAGAGAGGGGGAAAAAAGGGAAGGGGAAGAAGAAAAAAGGGAAAAGGGAGAGAAAAAGAGAAGGAGAGAAAGGGGAGAAAAGAAAAGGGAGACGAAAAAGAGAGAGAAAAAAAGGGGAGGGGAGGAAAGGAAAGGAAAAGGGAAGGAGAGAAGCAGAGGGGAGGAGACAAAAGGAGGGAAGAGGGGAAAAGAGAAGAGGGGAAGGGAAAAGGGGGGAAAAGGAGAGGAGAGGAGGAAAAAAGAAAGAGGAAGGAAAAGGGGGAGGAGAAGAGGGGAAGAAAGAAGGAGAGGAAAGGGGAAGAGGAGGAAGGGGGAGAGAAAGAAGGAAAAGGGGAGGAAGGAGAAGGAGAGGGGAAGAAAAAGGAAGGAGAGGAAAGGAGAAGGAAGGGAGAAGGAAGGAGGAAGGAAAGGAAAAGGGAGAAGAGGGAAGAGAGGAGGGGAAGAGGAAAGAAGGAAGGAAAAAAGGAGGGGGGGAAAGAAGAGAAAAGGAGAGAGGGAAAAGAAAGGAGGAAGAAAAGAGGGGGGAAGAAAAAAAGGAGAAGGAGAAAGGGAGCAGGGGAAGAAAAAGAAAGGAGAGGGGAGGGGAAAAAAAGGAGGGGGGAGGAGAAGAAAAAAGAAAGAGGAAAAAAGAGGGGAGGAGAAAAAAGAGAAAGGGGAGGAAAGAGAAGAGGGGAGGAGAAGAAAAAAAAAGGGGGGAGAAAAAAAAAGGGAGAGAAAAAAAGGGAGGAGGAAAAGGGGAGGAAAAAAAAGGGGAGAGAAGGAAGGGGAGGAGAGAAAGGGGGGGGAGAAAAAGAAGAGGAGAGGAAGGGGAGGGGAAAGGGAAAAGGAGGGGGAAGGGGAAGGAAAGAGGAGGGAAAGGGGAAAAGGGAAGAGAAGGGAAAGGAAAGAGGAGGGAAGGGGAAAAGGGAAGGAGAGGGAAAGGGAGAAGAGGGAAGAGGAAAAAGGGAAGGGGAAAGAAAGGAAAGAGGAAGGGGGAAAAAGGAAAGGAAAGGGGAAGAGGAGAGAAAAGGGAAGAGGGGGAAGGGGAGAAAAAAAAGGGGAAAAAAAAGGAGGGAAAGAAAGGGGGAAAAAGGGGGAAGGAGGAGGAGGAAAAGGAAAGGAAAAGAAAAAAGGGGGAGAAGAAGGGGGAGAAAAGCAGAGAAAAAGAGGGGGAAAGAAAGAGGGGAGGAAAAAAAAGGGAAGAAAGAGAGGGAAAGAGAAGAGAAAAAAGAAGGGAGAGAAAAAGGAAAGAAAAAGGGGGGGGAGGAAAGAGGGGAGAAAAAAGGGGAGAGAGAGAAAAGGAAAGGGAAAAGAAAGAGAGGGGAAAAAAAGAGGAAAAGGGAGGAAGAAAAAAAAGGGAAAAAAGAGGGAAAAAGGGAGAGGGAGGAGGAAAAAAAGGAAGGGGGAGAGGAGAGAAGGGAGAAAGGAGGGAGGGGAAAAAGGAGAGGAGGGAAGGAGGAAAAGGAAAGGAAGAGGAAGGGGAAGGGAAGAAGAGGGAAAGGGAGAGAGGAAAAACAAAAAAGGGGAAAAAAGGGAAGGGAAAAAAGAAAAGGAGAGGGGAAGGGAAAGGGAGGGAAGGGGAAAGGGAGGGGAGGGAAGGAGAGAAGAGGAAGAAGAAAGAGAAGAGGAAGGGAAAGGAAGGAAAAGGGAAGGGGGAAAAGGGAAGGAGAAGAAAAGAAAGAAAAGGGAAGGGAGAAAAGGAAAGGAAAGGGGAAGAGGAGAGGAAGGGAAGAGGGGGAAGAAGAGAGGGAAAGGAGGGGAGAGAAAAGGAGAGGGAGGAAGGAAGGGAAGGGGAGAAGGGAGGGAGGGAAGGGAGAGGAGAGAGGAGAAAGAAGGGAGGAAGGAAGGGAGGAGAGAGGGAAGGAAAAAAAAGGGAGGGGAAAGAAGGGAAGGAAA